CGCTTCACACTTCACGGTCCACACTTCACACTTCTCACTGCTTCCTTCACACTCCAAACCTCACACTTCACACTTCACACTTCACGCTGCGCTCTTCGCACTCCACACTTCACAGTCCACACTTCACACTTCTCACTTCACACTTCTCACTGCTTCCTTCACACTCCAAACTTCACACTTCTCACTTCGCACTTCACACTCCACACTTCACAGTCCACACTTCACACTTCTCACTTCTCACTGCTTCCTTCCCACTCCAAACTTCGCACTCCAAACTTCACACTTCTCACTTCGCACTTCACACTCCACACTTCACTCACACTTCACACTTCACAGTCCACACTTCACACTTCTCACTGCTTCCTTCACACTCCAAACCTCACACTTCACACTTCACACTTCACGCTGCGCTCTTCGCACTGCACACTTCCCAGTCTCCACACTTCACAGTCCACACTTCACACTTCTCACTTCACACTTCTCACTTCTCACTGCTTCCTTCACACTCCAAACTTCACCCTTCTCACTTCGCACTTCACACTCCACACTTCACAGTCCACACTTCACACTTCTCACTTCTCACTGCTTCCTTCCCACTCCAAACTTCACACTCCAAACTTCACACTTCACACTTCTCCCTTCGCACTTCACACTCCACACTTCACTCACACTTCACACTTCACACTTCTCACTGCTTCCTTCACACTCCAAACCTCACACTTCACACTTCACACTTCGCACTCCAAACTTAAACTTCACACTTCACACTTCACACTTCTCACTTCCCACTGCTTCCTTCACACTGCACACTTCACACTGCACTCTTCACGCCCCACACTTCACACTGCTCTAAACCTACGTGCAACAAAAAAACACTAGCGCCAAAATGGAGAAAATCTGCTAACAAATCCATGTCGCAGCCTTCATGCAGCCACTCGAATACGATTTACGAGATCGAGCTGCAAAAGACAATAGTATGACAAATGCAGCCACAGCACGAAGCAACCTTGACGCAGCCATTACAATGCGATCTGCAGAGACTGAGTTGCAAAACACAATAGAACTACGCGCAACCGCGTCGGAAATTGTAGCTCCAAAACCGGATCTCGACGCCAGAGCGAAAAAAAAAAGATTTTGAAGCACTTTTTAAAAGGATTTTTAGAAGGAAAATCACTAGCGCCAAAATGGAGAAAATCTGCTGACAAATCACTGTCGCAGCCTTCATGCAGCCACTCCACTACGATTTACGAGATCGAGCTGCAAAAGACAATAGTATGACAAATGCAGCCACAGCACGAAGCAACCTTGACGCAGCCATTACAATGCGATCTGCAGAGACTGAGTTGCAAAACACAATAGAACTACGCGCAACGGCGTCAGAAATTGTACAGGAAATCGCGAAACTCATGCCTAAGTCACGCCTGTGTGTTGAAAATCTGTTTCCCCCCATCTAAATGCAATTTCCAGGAAGTCATGCCTATGTCATGCCCGCAACCCAAATCACCATCTAAATGCAGCGGAAACCTTTGCTTCATTTTGATTAACTGATACCAGTAGTACCGCACAAGGCGGTGGCGGAAGTTTCAAAAAAAATAGTAGCCTGTAGGAAGTGTTGGGTTTTTGAATTGCATGGGCGGCAGAGCAAGCCGCTGATGGATCCTTTTTGATAATAGTTTGTTGAGAAATGAATAGTGAATCTGACAGTGAAGTGTGAGATAAGGAATATGATATATACTGGAAAAAAAACGACGTCAGAACGACGTCCGGACGACGTCCAAGCGACGTCAACTCATTCCCTAGGAAAGGCCATTCCCCACATGATGGCTGAACAACATGAGACTCCTACCAAAGGAAGAAATGGCTACTCAAAACACCAACTAAATGCAACGACCAAGTCTTAAGTAAGTCAGATGTGAAATCTTTGCCCAACATCAAAACACCAACTAAATGCAACGACCAAGTCTTAAGTAACTCAGATGTGAAGTCTTTGCCCAACATGCTGAACACCAACTGAATGCAGGATTTATATGAAATCATAGATCCGATCATGAAAACCAGAAAATCCTGCATTTCCTATGCGTTTCACAAAAAGGCACGACTTTTCAAAATCAAGTGCTCCGAAGCTATTTTCAACGATTCCCACTAATCTAGGCACGACTTTAGCAACTCTCTGTAGCTCCAAAACCGGATCTCGACGCCAGAACGAAAAAAAGACGATTTTGAAGCACTTTTTAAAATGATTTTTAGAAGGAAAATCACTAGCGCCAAAATGGAGAAAATCTGCTGACAAATCACTGTGGCAGCCTTCATGCAGCCACTCCAATACGATTTACGAAGTCCAGCTGCAAAAGACAATAGTATTACGTATGCAGCCAAAGCAGGAAGCAACCTTGACACAGCCATTTACATTGCGGGAACGATCCTACAGTTGCAAAGCACAATGGAATTCCATTGGCAACTCATCCACCAGCAACACTTGCAATCCCATTTACATTGAGGGAACGATCCTAGAGTTGCAAATCACAATGCAATTCCATCAGCAACTCATCCACCAGCACCACTTGCAACCCCATTTACAATGCGGGAACGATCCTACAGTTGCAATTCACAATGGAATTCTGTCGACCACACATGCACGAAAAACAGTTGAAACCCCATTTACAATGCGGAACCGATCCGAGCATGATCCGAGACCGATCCGAACATGATCCGAACATGATCCGACCACACACGAGACCGTCTCGCACCCGTCGCACAGCAGAGGTAGATCATCGAAGTTCGTGGACACACTTTGTATGGAAAAACATAGGCTTTCGTGCATCTGCTATCTCTCCAAAACGCATTTCGTGCGAGACTTCCTTCCAAACTCCATCGGCAACTCCTCCACCAGCACCACTTGCAATGCCATTTACAGTAGGGGAACGATCCTAGAGTTGCAAATCACAATGCAATTCCATCAGCAACTCATCCACCAGCACCACTTGCAACCCCATTTACAATGCGGGAACGATCCTACAGTTGCAAATCACAATGGAATTCTGTCGACCACACATGCACAAAAAACAGTTGAAACCCCATTTACAATGCGGAACCGATCCGAGACCGATCCGAGAATATCCGAGCATGATCCGACCACACACGAGACCGTCTCGCACCCGTCGCACCGCAGAGGTAGATCATCGAGGTTCGGGGACGGACTTTGTATTGAAAAACATAGGGTTTCGTGCATCTGCTATCTCTCAAAAACGCATTTCGTGCGAGACTTCCTTCAAAACTCCATCGGCAACTCCTCCACCAGCACCACTTGCAATGCCATTTACAGTAAGGGAACGATCCTAGAGTTGCAAATCACAATGCAATTCCATCAGCAACTCATCCACCAGCAGCACTTGCAACCCCATTTACAATGCGGGAACGATCCTACAGTTGCAAATCACAATGGAATTCTGTCGACCACACATGCACGAAAAACAGTTGAAACCCCATTTACAATGCGGAACCGATCTGAGACCGATCCGACCATGATCCGAGGATGATCCGACCACACACGAGACCGTCTCGCACCCGTCGCACCGCAGAGGTAGATCATCGAGGTTCGGGGACGGACTTTGTATGGAAAAACATAGGGGTTCGTGCATCTGCTATCTCTCAAAAACGCATTTCGTGCGAGACTTCCTTCAAAACTCCATCGGCAACTCCTCCACCAGCACCACTTGCAATGCCATTTACAGTGAGGGAACGATCCTAGAGTTTTAACTCTTTCTTTGACTAACTCTTTCCCTGACTAACTGTTTCTTTGACTAACTCTTTGTTTGACTAACTCTTTCTTTCACTAACTCTTTCCCTCACTAACTCTTTCTTTGACTAACTCTTTCCCTCACTAACTCTTTCTTTGACTAACTCTTTCCCTGACTAACTGTTTCTGTGACTAACTCTTTCTTTCACTAACTCTTTCTTTGACTAACTCTTTCCCTGACTAACTCTTTCTTTGACTAACGCTTTCTTTGACTAACTCTTTCCCTGACTAACTGTTTCTTTGACTAACTCTTTCTTTGACTAACGGTTTCTTTGCTAACTCTTTCCCTCACTAACTCTTTCTTTGACTAACTCTTTCCCTGACTAACTCTTTCTTTGACTAACTCTTTCCCTCACTGACTCTTTCTTTCACTAACTGTTTCCCTCACTAACTCTTTCTTTGACTAACTCTTTCCCTGACTCACTGTTTCTTTGACTAACTCTTTCTTTGACTAACTCTTTCTTTAACTAACTCTTTCCCTGACTAACTGTTTCTTTGACTAACTCTTTCTTTGACTAACTCTTTCTTTGCTAACTCTTTCCCTCACTAACTCTTTCTTTGACTAACTGTTTCTTTGCTAACTCTTTCCCTCACTAACTCTTTCTTTGACTAACTCTTTCCCTGACTAACTGTTTCTTTGACTAACTCTTTCTTTGACTAACTCTTTCTTTGACTAACTTTTTCCCTGACTAACTGTTTCTTTGACTAACTCTTTCCCTGACTAACTCTTTCTTTGACTAACTCTTTCCCTGGCTAACTGTTCTTTGACTAACTCTTTCTTTGACTAACTCTTTCTTTGACTAACTCTTTCCCTGACTAACTGTTTCTTTGACTAACTCTTTCTTTGACTAACTCTTTCCCTGACATTCTAAAAGTCCGTAACACGGAAGTTTCTCCCCCTAAACTTCCTTTGATGACTAACAGTTTGCCATGGAAAATCCCAACCATAAATGGAGGTTGATGTCGCTGGGAAAATCATCTATTTCTATGGGCCATTTTCATCCATCTATACCATGGCTATGTTAGTCATAACCAGAGGGTTTTGGAGTTTTGGCTCATGGAAAATGGCCCATTTATAGATGATGAACTAGAAAAATGGCCCATTGACAGAGGGAAAATCAATGAAAATCATCTATTTCTATGGCATTAAATGGCCCATTTTCATCCATTTTCATCCATTTTCCATGTTTTGACTCATGGAAAGTCATCGTTTCCCCCATGTCCTACGGTGTTTTACCACTGCCTTCTGATCCACGAAGACGATGCGCGACGGCGATCCAGCGAGTTCCACGGCGTTGACCATCGAAACGTCGCTGCCCACCTTGGGATCCTAAAAATCCATGGCACTTTTGTGAAATTATCGGGAATTCATGGATTTTAAGGTTTCTTATGAACTATAAATAAGTTTTGAATGGAATTTAAGTTTTCTTATGAACTATAAATAAGTTTTGAATGGAATTTAAGTTTTCTTATGAACTATAAATAAGTTTTGAATGGAATTTAAGGTTTCTATCAAATAAATTCCATATGGAATTTCGTGGAATTGAAGGTTTCTAAAATGTTTCTTTTGGCCATCAAATAACTATAGAATAACTAAGCAATAACCCCGATAAGTTGGGATGTAGCCCCTGTACCTGTAGCCGTATACTTATCTATTACCGTCATGGTAAATACATGGGTTCTTCTTACCATCAATGAATGCCAAAACTGATGTCAATAATGATCAAATAATGTCAAATATCACAAAATTGAGCAAAAATAGAGTAATATTCAAAAATGATATCAACTATCTTGGTTCCTTTAAACCTTTACAATATATGCGCTAGTTCCTTTCCGTCTTGGATTTTAATGGTACCTCGCGGTGCCAGAGTTGGATCAACGGGAAAATCTGCTTCGGAAACCAATGGTGGTTTTTCTGCACAAAATTCACAAAATGTCCATGAACAACCAATCCGATGCGATCTTGATAGGATTCAGCTACTTCGTTGACAAATGTTGACAATGTATTTCATTCCAGAAGTATAATGTATAGTATAATAATGTATAATATATCACCCAAAATGCCCTCCGGCCAAGAACATGGTGTACTGAGAAACTGTGGATTGATCTCCTCATCACCCTTTGTGGCTCGTCGCTTGTTTCAACTACCATCTTCTGCTGGCTTCAGGCAGAACTCCCCATGAAACCTTGGGTGCTTCTCAGCTCTCCCCCGTTGTTGCGGCTTCAATCCCCAAGTTCGCGGGTTTTTGAATCGCAGGTTACGGTTACAGGAAATCCCCATGTCTTTTTCATTGAAATGCTGATTTCAAACCTATTTTTTTTGTTGAAACTAAAGTACCCCATAATTTCTTGTTGAAATGCCCATTCTCGCCCTTGAAACCTCCGCCTTACCAGTGAACTCCGAGGTTTTGTCGTTGGAATCCCTGGCCCAGGTGCCTCTTGCGCAAGGCGTCGCGTCGCCTTCAAGAGGCCTTGCAGCCGTCCGGGGGGCGACCCTCAACTCATTTGAAGCCCAGTTAGGAGAGTTGAAACATGTAAACTAAACCCTGCTGTTCAACCCATTCTTATCACATTCAACTGATACCCCAATCGATTCTTGATCCAATTACAGCAGTATCTTCTTTCATAGCTGTCTAAGGATTGAGGTGCAGGTTTGGTGAGTTGGAGCCAGCATTGGATGCACGTGCTACTTGGAGGATCACCCTCCCCACTCACCTCCAAGGTCCTCTGTTTGCTCCAAGTATCCAAATCTCCATTAGATATTGTTGGTCACATATCCCAATGGTATCCCTGCTATATCCCCATTGATGATGGGCAAACCCGCATTGTACCGAGCCCAAACTCTCTCGGCCCCCGCGCTCATCAAACGGGACCCGCCCGTGAGATGCAGCTCTTTCCGAAGCCGCTGATGCGTCTGATGCGAGGAATGGTCGGAAGGCAGCTGAGCAATGCACAACCCCCAGGTGTTTGATGATCAAATAACCAGCAAAACGTTGTGCTTCAACCAATTCAACCATCAACAATTCTGATCTAATAACCAAGCATATGTCGGTATACCATTGCCAATCTTAGATACCATACAAAAAAAATAAATTCTTAGCTGGTGAACGTAGATAATCCCAGCAAGATACCCAGCAAGACTAAGTTAGATTAGTTTGTAGCCATCCAATTTTAACCATGGTTAACCTAGATACATGGCAGTGTGTCAAAACCTTGTACCCCTGGTGAACATCAAAATAGCTGGTAAATGGGTGTTCATTCCCCTAAAAATGGTATTAATAGGTATTGATCCATACCCACATACGGTACGGGTACCTGATACGTTGGTTAACCTAGCCCCATCCCGTCCGACCATCTCGACCCACGTTGGCTACCTCGGTGAGTTGCAAGATCTTCTCCGGCGGAAGCGGTGTCTGCAACATCTGCTCCAGCTGGACCTCGGCTGGGGACAAAGTGCTAATTGATATGTTTAGCCCGTTTAGACATGCTGCTTTCCAATCCTAACTAATATCTCAAGATTCAATATATAATATAATGCATGTTATTATTATTATTACATATCATATAATATTATAATATATATATATATATATGATACGATATGTAGATATATATATATATATACGGTATTATAATGTATTATATAAATGATATGATTCTGATATATATATATATATATTCAAGGTGCTCAAAATGCCAAGACAAAGAACCTCCCCCAGACCAAGAGTCAGGTGTGCACAATCTTACTCTCCGAGGAAAAAAAACAAGCCCAAAACAACCTAGAGCCTGGAGCCAGAAGTGTTGTGAAAACAGATCTTGACATACAGCAATTCCCGCTAGGACTGAATTCCATGTCCTTACAGTACCGGGTACATGTGTATATGTATATATATATATATTATGTTTACCCCCGCAAATTCACATAGACCCTGAAAATGTCGTCAACTTTTAGTGGAAAGTAATGTACCAACCCCTACTTGGCAGATGTTAGTTGGACGATGACCGTTGAATTTTCGATCACCACTCTCTCTGAGACGCCCTACATCATGCTCGGCGATTTGGTGACACCACACCTGCAACGGGGCAAGATATGTCAATTCAAACAACGTGGAATCATGTTTCAAAGTAAGGATGAAAAACTCACAGCAGCAGCAGCAACAACAACAACAACAACAAGGACAACAGGAACAACCACAAAAAAAACACCAAAAACAAACAAAGAACATTAAGAGCATTAAGAACACCAAAAAAAAACAACCACAACCCCCTCGATGGAAGACCAGATTTGAAGTCGTTATCTATCTAAAATCATCCAAGGTACATATATATATATGCATTGTATAAAAATATGTATATAATTATATAATTATATATATATATATATGTTATATACAGAAGATAAAGACAGTCTTTGCAGGATAGTAGAAATAAGAAACCAAACATCTTTTGAATATCCTTTCCTTGCTCATCCTAGCAGTGCCCAGAAGGAACCCCTTGTAGTTTCTGTCCGACATCTTGGAGGTACCATTCCCTGTGTATGGACACTTTCTTCCACCTTTCGTTTCCTATCATGTGGTTGGGGAGCTTCAAGTAGCTCCTTGGCTCCCCATTCTCTCATTGGGAATATGGATACTCATAGCTTCTTAATTCCCTCCTAACCACGGGATAGTTTCTTATAGTTACATCACTTAGGCTGTAAAACAGCACGTGGCTTTCTCTGAAAAAGTACCTATGACAAAACTCAAAAAAAAACTTCGGTATCGGTATATCAAAAAAAAAACTTTCTTAAGATGGCTATATATGAAACTGCGGGAGATCTGTCATTTCAAGACAGACCCGGTGCCGTCGAAAGTCCCCCTAATTATCTATCTCATCATGGTTGATGGTAGATCTCTGGTAATCCATGCTTAATCCCACTATCTCATCATTGAAAATACCCTCTGGTAAACATAGAAAAAGCTATTGAAAATGGCCATTTATCATTTATAGTGGATTTTCCCATTGAAAATTGTGATGTTCCATAGTTATGTAACAGTTTACCAGGCCGGGTACTTTGGTTGATGGTTCCCATTCAAATCCACCAGGATCGCCGGGCGCACCCTGTTCCTGCACCGCCGTCGTCTGAAGCGTCGACCGCCACAGCGGCCGCCTTCCACGACCCGACGGAAGCGATCGAAGGCCAGGCGCACGGCGGCCCATTGATCTCGGCAGATCTTCACCGCAGAAAATGGTGGTTTTAGGGTGAAAGGTGGTGGTTTTACCAGATGAAAATATCACGGTTTTAGCCAAAATTTGATGATAAGAATAGTGGTTTGATCCTCAAAAAATGTGTGTTGCCACTAAACATGGAGATTGAATTGGAAAAAATGGAGAAGATAGGCATCAAAAAGTATGTTTACCATCAAAAACATTGGGATTTCACCAGGAAAACATTGGAAATTCCATCATTTGGGTAGGAGATGGTAGGAGTATGTCTCAAAACCAGGGTTTCCCCACGCAATCGCCAATCCAGCCAGCTGTGTTCGATTACCAGAGGCGGGGATCAAGAAGGGGATAGCATGACCCCAGTAGCTACCTCGGAATCAAAATATACCCCTGGAATATATACGCTGTTGTACTGTACACACTACGAGGTCTATCCCAAGACCTATCCCATAACATATCCCACGACGTATCCCAAATATCAAGGGCCATGCGGGAACCCACTTGGTAGCAACACCCCGAGCCATCTCACTAACAGGCCATTGGTCAAACTGTTGGTTCAAAAAGCAACCAATTCATTAGCGTTTCTCTTTCTGTCAGGAAGAACACATGGTGTGTCTCTTTATTAAGAGCTTGCTTTGGGGGTACACCCAAATTCAATGGGACTTTTCCGGCGAACCGATCGTCAAGGAACCATGGAAATCGCGCACATAGACGGAGTCTTTGCCCGGCAGTGGACGATTGATCCTGCGTAAGGAAGCAGCTAGAGCAGGGGGTGCTGGTAAGTGATGGCTATCTTCATGAACGCTCACAACCTGTTTGGCCCATGCGTTTAAATCGATGAATGAGTCATCTTCAAAGTGAATTTGGTGGGATATGTAAAAGATGTAAGATGTAGTTGGATAATTATGCACATATACATATATGTAGATATCTGGGCATGTATGCATAGCATCTGCTAAATGTGTAACGATCTAGAATCTACATTACATTAGATTATATATTTATATATGCATGTATACCGTCTACATTTGTGTGTAGATGTATAAATATATACATATATCATCCGTACATGTTTCTTTATTCCACACGCAGAATATTCCACACCCACGCAGATCGCCCGGAACAGCCTGGAAAGAACTTGCACCATCTTCACATCACTTTCCAAGCACCTTTACGCTGCACAACATGCATTGTGGCAAACGTAAGGATTTACCATGTATAAACTCTCCTTAGATCGCTCCCCAAAAAAAAATACATCCAAGACTAAATCAGGGTTTTCTGGTGGTTTGATATTGAGGATTGTACATTCTGCCTTTTGGATCCCTTTCGATTCTACTTCTACAGTCGTTGGAGTCCTGTCTCTCCTCAATGTGCTTACCAGTTTTCGAAGACCCAGCAAACAAAAAAATAGACCACGTTTCTCATCTCATTTTATGTCGGATATTTAAGGCCAATGAAGAGAACAGACAAAACAGTGGCCACAAGACAATTTGGGGGAAATGGGGTGTGTTGACCCTGTGGCTGAGATGCGTAGACGACAAATAATCCATGTGATCTTTGCATAGATGGTCTATCCGATACAAATGCATGCCTAACACATGTTTATGGATATTTTCTGTAGACTCCATGCAAATATTATATATATATATACACTGTATATATTAATATGTATACATATGAAATGTCATGTAATTATACGTGCGTATCTGGGTAAAGTGTAATAATTGACCTGAATAGTTGCCCCTACTAACCATTCCAGAGAGGTCTCCCGGTGAGGTCGTTATAATTTACCCAGATGCATGTGTATATGATATTCGTATGTATATATTAAATATCTATATTAATATATATATATATATTTGTGTGTGTGATTGTGTAGGTGAGCCTTATCTCGTACCATCTTGCAACCATTCTCACCAATCAGTTCCCAAGTGGGAGATCGCCCCTCTGGTTTTCAAAGATGATTGATTGTGCACTGCCATATCTCTTTGCCAGAGGGTCTTGCCAGTTGGTAAATATAATGTGTTGGTGGTACATCCCTATTTTGGTGGTAAAGCTTCTATTTTAATCTATTTTAGATGTTTTATTAAATCCCTACCTCAGATGGATAAATTATGATAAATCCCTATGTTTGATGTCTTCAAACTTACCAGATGCCAATCGACACCACAGACCCCAAACAGTAAACATGCCATGGCACCGGTCCAGGTACATAGCTGCCAAGCGTGGCTCATCGAAGCCCGTTTCCAGCTTGTTGCAGACCACCAGGATCCTAGCACACAAATTGTCTTGAGCTGGCACTGTAGTCGGGGTTGCTCCCAACACGCCAAGTACGTTTGGGTGGAAAAATGTGAGATAGAAAAGTAAAATGACAATTTTTCCCCTGTGCGGCTATCATTTACCAATCTTTATCCTGTAATGGTTTGGAGCAACCCTGGTAGTGATTACCTTCAAACACTTGGAAATTCGACCGTCTAAAATGATTCAACATGAGGCTCCAACATCCAAAATGATCAAGACTTGTTTTGCTACCATTACAGAAAAAAACGGGAAATAATAACATACCTAAGAGAAACAAACAGAATGATGCATCAAAATTTGGCGCTGTTGCCATGAAAGCGTGGATGATAATTGCCGATAGCCTCTGTAATCAAACATGGCAACGGGAATGCCCATGTCTCAATGGGAACATGAGCCATCAATGGATATGATATAGAACATGATTCGTCATCTTCATGGGTTTTCCATTCTTTGCAACATACATCCCAAACTGGGGTTATCTATGCCCACTTCAGTCAGCATATTTGCCCTTCCTGTAAGCTCACCTGGGGGGGTGATATCATGAGATCTGGTGTTTTTCATGTTGCAAAAAGGATTTCTATACCTGGTTGGTGGTTGACCTACCCCTCTGAAAAATCATGGAGTGAAAGTCACTTAAAGGATGATGACATTCCCATATATGAAATGGAAAATAAAAATGTTTGAAACCACCAGCCGTTATACTATATATTCAGTGTTTATGTGTGTTCATGTGTTCTTTAAACATATCTTGAAACAACCGGCGTCCTGGCACTTCGACATGCTTCCAGCAATGGCAAACCATTCAGCCGTTCTTCCAGCAGGTCTCCCACGGCGCCGCCTGCTGCTGGGCATAGGGCTATGGCTCAAGGGCTGGATCACCATGGAAGAGCAGCGATTTTTTGGAGCCATTCCAGTCTGGTTGCTAACACAACATGAAGAACACACCCAAGTTGTACTGTAGGCTTTCTGGTGAACTCATCTAGCTCCAGAAACGCTAAAATCAAAGTCTTTTGGCCATAATCCATCCAGTGAAAGAACTGATCTGCAGCTGGCTGCAGGCCTTTTTGGTTCTTGTGACCAACTCTCATGGCAGGTATGGAGCTGCCAGGAGCATCAAAAGGCAACTTCCCTTTGTGCCGCCGACCGTCCGATTTCTGAGGGACCAATCTCTAAAAATCATCTCTTCCGGTGATGTTCAACTTCCTAAGAGTCAGCAGATTTCCGTTAGATTCCGTTAGATCTACCCTCTATACTTTATACGTCTTGTTGGTTCTCACCCTCAGATATTATTGGGTAACGTCCTCCATGCCGGACCCCCACAGCAGCTGGGGCACTGAAGAAGCCACAAATGCCCCGGTTCAGGAAGAAGCCGGGCGACCTGCCCAAGCTATGGGAACCCGGTGGCTGGTGCTGGTTCCCCAATTTATTTTGTTTGCCAAGTTCTTTGACTAATTTGATTGTTGTTGCTTATTGATGTTTGTGTTTCGGGGTTCTGGGTCTAGACTCTTGGTTGCTCTTGTTTCATTTAAGCCCCACAAACCAATGGATATGATTTGTCAAAATGAGGTTCGTGAGAGGTGGCTTTTCTAATATTTCACCCCTGGCCCCCAAAACATGCTCGGAAATACGGAACATGGTTTGCTATTCTGCTGTTTGATATTCCGTGGGCAAAAAAACACAAGAACTAGGGAAGATAAACATTGGGATGTAGGTATGTTAGAGATAGCGCACTTGGTCATGGTAAGTGGCAGCCAGCCATATATACTGTCAAAAAACTGAAGCATGGCTAAACGCATCCCCAAGGAAAATAAGCGCTGCACCAATTCCAGATGATTTTGCAGGGAAAATTCAGGCAACATTTAAGATATTGAAGGGAATGTGCATCTCAGACTGAGTGATAGCTAATTTTCATCCCCACAGAAATTTACGACATCCCCCCCCAAGTAACTGCTGTAAAATACCTGGCTAATGTAGGGGGTTAAGATTTGAACGAAAGGTTCATTTTTCCCACTTTGTTGCTTATTATATATATCCCATTATATCCCATTAATATGCCATATTATATCATATTATCCCATATTATCCCAGATTATCCCATGAATATGCCATATTGTCATATTATAATATATTATCATATTATCTCATAGAATATCCCATTATTTATATATATATATACACATCCCATAAAATGCTTGGTTCAAGTGGATCTCCCCACTATCTCCCCACCATCACTGGGCCGGCACCCTACCCATCCGTTTCTACCGAGCTTCCACCCGAGCCCCGGCAGCCAGCCGTTCGTGCTTTGGGCCAACTTGCGCAGCTGCTGGACGTAGGACACCACGTCCACGCGCCGGCGGCACACGACCATGGCCTTGCAAAACTGGTGGCATGCCATGGGATGGAATGGAATTTTCTCATGGGAATATCATGGCTGGTTGGTGGTTGACCTACCCCTCTGAAAAATATGAGTTCGTCAGTTGGGAGTTCGTCAGTTGGGAGTATTATTCTCAATATATGGAGAAATAAAAAAATGATCCAAACCACCGACCGGAATGTATATATAATCGAAATATAGAGTGAATATAATCATTATAATACGAATAACAAAAAACATATAAGGATTAAGGAATATAGTGGGACTATCATGGGAATATTGGAAGATATAATTATATAATGGAACTATAAAACCAACTATGTGAGATCAGTCTGTCAATGGTGGATTTCGCCACCAAAATGTAGGGAGAATGCTGAGTGGCCACAGGATGGAATTGGGGTACCAACTGTGAGCCATCAATCAAACTCATGAATCCAAAAAGCCGGATTATAATACGCTTGTGACCCACTGGGTCCATATTCAACTCAAAACCTCATCTTTAAATCTTGGTGGCTAAAACAATGTCATAAAACCATCCCCCAGTCATCACCATAGATAGGTGATATAAATGTTTATTATTGTTTTAACCGCATTATGAATTTTCAGTGTTCACTAGTCAGATTTCCCGGATTTTCCTCTACAGAAATGGCTTGGAGCCTGCCTGCCACCCCCCGAGAACTGCCTTCATATCGGTAGCAAAGGCTTCATCATAGCTTTGTGCCACCCTGCTATGGATGGAAGATGATGGAAGCAACAGCACTGCAACATCAAACATTTTTGCCAAGATGGTTTCATAGAGGGTGAAGGGGTAGTCAAAAGTCGCCTGGAATCTTCATCCGCATATAACTTTGCATCATATCATGACCCCACAATAGGATCTACCTCTTGTTTCTTCATTTTCCCCCACAACCCCCGGCGATCCGGGATTGCACGAGCGACAACCCCGTTCCAGCGGACAGTCACCGGCTGGAGCCTTTGTAGATCCGCCAAGATGTAGCGGCACTTCTCTGAAAGGCTTTGAAGTCGGCAGGTTTCGTAGTTGGTCAAGACGTCCAAGACCACTCCTACAGAAAGGATTCAACCGGTGGCAGGGCTGCAATCCGCCTGTGGATTGACTCACACTTTCATGACTTTGTAAGCTGGGTTCATGTTGGCTGTCGGCTTTCAAGTTCTATAGTTCTGAACGGCATCCTTCAATCTGGGATTACCAATTTGTGTGGCGCCAGAAAATTAGATGTAGAAAGTTTGATGTTGTATTCACCTGGTTGAAACCTTGAAGTGGGTGATGCAAACAAAATCAAGAAACTTAACTCAATGAACATTTCACCAGTTTGAAACCATTTTTTCCGCACAGCGTGGGTATAGGTCATCAAAATATGTTAAGATTTTATTGACCAGCCATTTGTTTTCCATTGGTCCCAAAATGACTCGACCCATTCCAAGTCCCAATCAAATCCCATCTTGTCTTGTGTAAATCCACCCTTTTGTTGGCTCAAACCAATTTATGTTGGTGTATGTTGGTGTTATGTATAAACCCACCCTTTTCTTGATGAGATACTGGTGAGACCCTTATCAAATATTCAAATATATACATAAATCCAAATATAAATCCATATAAATCCACCATTATTTCATGTTATATATATATATAATATATATAATTATATATACGTATAATCATATAATATACACATAATATCACATAATAACATCATATCCACCAACTCATAACTCATCCCTTCTTTTTGTATCCCATGGCACCGGTTGATCCAATGGCACTGCACTCCTTCCTTCTCAGCCTGTCCCAGGTGGTAGCCATGCACTGATGCCCTGAAGAGGCGCAAGCAGCTGGGGCTGGGGGTTCCGGTGAAGCCGATGTAGACCTGGGCGTTTTTGGGGCCTTCGAATCACTCACTTCACTAAACACTTGTGGAATCATCCTAATTTTGGGCTTGAAAATACCACATATATCTGGGGAACCAACATTGGGGGAAATCACCCAACATATTGGGGGATGAATCATGGTTTTTCTCTGATAGGGTAAGGGGGAAGAGATCAGGAAATATGATGTTATGATAGCTGAGCTGGTTTTAAAAGTAGGAGAAGGACTGGTGAGACATGGTAAGACATAGTTCGATGATCTCTGTTCAATTACTGGACGATTGATTAGTGGAACAGACGACTGGATGACCTGTTTGCTAGTTCGAAAACTGATTGGTTGAGCCCCTCCGAAAAATATGCTTGTCAATGGGAATCATCATCCTATTGCTAGGCTAGGCTAAAATGGTGAAAATCCAAAATATTTACCCTCTGGTAATTTCTTACATAACTATGGAACATCACCATTTTTGTGGGATAATCCACTATTTCTATGGTCATTGTCAATAGCTATGCTTGTATGTTTACCAGAGGGTAAAACCACCAACCAGATTGTTTGAGTATTGGATGACCCTGGTGGGATCATCCAAACAGGACATCCGGCAGCCTGGAAGGGCCGTGAGAAAGTTACAGAAGCCTTTTATTAAAGCATCAATAAGTGTCAATAACTCATGCCTCTTTTTTATTTCTTTTCACGTTTTTAAAAGCATCAATACATATATATATATATATATATCAATACCATCTGTGACAAAATATTGTGCCCAACCACTCATTATTGTTTAAAATACATACCTCCAACAAGGACTTCGAGGAAAGATGTGTTAATTGTAAATGCTGGAAATGGACAGCCCGACATGGCTGTAGGGCCAGACATCTGGCATGCAACCCGTCCTGGTCAGCCCGAAATTTTGGAATCTGCCGCGTTGTTTTATCCTGGATGGTTTCACACCAATGTCAGTCACCAGGCAGTGATTCCAATCTGCGCCTGTTTCAGTAATTTGGGGCACATTGCTCAATATTCACCGCCAAGCCAATCGGCATGGTACAGAAAGGAGGTAGAGCGCAACAGAAAGTCATCTTTGTGATTGGTACCCTCTGCAAAAACAAAAAAACATGGGGTGATGTACTCCGTTTGTCAGGTTTGATTCCTGCAGGGTGATAGCTCTTCTCATTGAGATGTGGTTGAGCTTTTCTTCGGATACAGCAAGTGGGTAAGCGTTAGTCATGTAATCTTTGCATCTTGTTTTCACTATCCGACATGCACCATGGTACGTGTACTTTGCCCGAAAAAGAAGCCCGGAAAAACCTATGAGCTTATCCCGAATCTATAGTGGTGGAATGACCACCACAAGTGTCAGTTGGATTCTCACTGGATCATATATATATGCAAATAAAACCTCCATGAATCTGAGAACAGGACTTCATGAGGCGAATTGATCATTTGCAAGGGGAACCCCCCCGGGAGTGGCACAGTGGCCCGACTTTGACAACCAAGATGCCAAATCTTCTGGTTGGGTCGAGCGTCCACCGCCAAACCTCAAAACAAAGGAGGGTTGAGTGTTACTAGGATGTCACAAAACAAATCTGAAGAAATCAATCTTAAGACGAACTTAACTTTTGATCAATAGACACTTAAATCCAGAAAGAATGACTTACCCTCTGGTAATTTGTTACATAGCTATTGAAAATCACCATTTTTAATGGGAAAATCCACTATTTCGACTGGGCCATTTTCAATAGCTATTTTGACATAACCAGAGGGTAGATATCTTGGCCTGACTAGGTCCGGAGGTCCCCCACGGCTCGGGCAACCCCCATTATCTAGTGATGATTGCTGCTTAAGTAATGTTAGCCTGTGGTCGTACCTGTGGTTTGGGGCGTCCATTACCCTCCTCTCAAGCAAAATATTGATGGCTGTATCAGAATTTATCTAATCATATATATATTATATATCTATATACAGTATATATATATATACATCACTAGTCACTGTTGGGTAATGCATCTCAATCAGCGTTTTGTTGCTTTTCTATGGTCGCCATTCTTAGATACTCTTCTAAGAAACACTGGTTGTATATTCCCATGTTGATGGTTAACCTATTATTTAACCTGTGTCTTAAACCCCTACAAATATCATACTGTTGTTTGGCTATTTCCCATGATATCCTCATAAACCCAGTAACTGTTGACAATAGATAGATCTACGAGTACCATAAACCCTATTTGTTGGAGTTATGTACCAACGTAACGTAGCTAGCTATGAGGGGCCACCTTGTGCCCACTTAAAATCTATGTCCCAAAGTTTGTAACGTCTACACCAAGTAGCACATCCCCTCATAACAGTCCCATATGCCATATAGTACCATGTTCTTATGTATGGTTGTATATCATACCCCATTGCAGCACCCCCAAAACAGATAGGAAATTGGGCAGCTTGAAAATAGGTATAACAAATTATTAACATGTATTAAATATCATCTAAAACTCTGTAACCTCCTGGAAACACGTTTCTAATCTTTTCTAGCTTTTTAGACTTATCCCAATGTTCATGGTTGAATCTGCCAGTAGCCCCACTTTTCTCTCCCAACCAAGCCACAGCATCCGCACGGCCTCCGCCGTTTTGCCCCCCTCGAAGTGCGCCCGATGACACTCTTCGCAGATCACGGCCACGCGGCCACAGGCGAAAATGGGCGACAGATCCAGGGAGTTCTTGCCATCCTAGGAAGGCCATGCGCTTGGAAAGCCGATGGGTGCTGGAAATGGATGATGTTTGGGGAAAACAAACAGCTGAAGTCGATGGCGGTTTATGAAATCATCGATATTCGGCTGAAGAGTTCATTGAAATATCGTAGTTTGTTGGTGGTTGACCTACCCCTTTGCAAAATATGAAAGTCAATTAGTTTGTTGGGAATCAAAGATTGCTTGGATTAGTGGATTGGTCGAAGCTATCGCGAACATAGCGAAAATGTAAAAATAAATGGAGGAGACCATAGGGTTTCTCATCAAAGATTTTGAGGGAAACTGAAACTGGTGAATCTTCCCCTATAATCATTAGCTGTCTTTGGCCGGTTCCAGAAAGAATGTTGCTTTGAATTGACGAAAAAAACAGTATATAGATGGGAACAACAACCAAAGAACTATGGGTGCTTGGTTTACCAGGGTGCGTGTTTTTTTTCTGGTAACAAAGCTCACACTATCTAGAGAAGTCCTTCTTGTAAAGCTCTCACTGCAAACGTATATACCTCTCTCAAGTTGCCCTGCGATCTTTTCACTGCACCAGCTGCAGAGCTATGTCAGAACTAGGGACGCTGCGATCATCACAGGTCACTTAGAAAAAGAAACTGTCCATGAGTCCATCATGATCTTCCGCGGAAGCATGAATGATAATGTTGATCAATGATGATAGTTGAAACCTAGCGCCGCTACCGCCTGGTAGTGGTGTTTGGTACCACCATACCACTTGAGGCCACTACATCAGCAGATCAGGATATTTCCCAATTGGTGACGGAGGGCTGTGCTTCTGTCCATTTCAGCATCGGCCCTACCTCCAACTCTTGCCACAGCATGGTGATGCACCAGGCTGTCCACTCCAGAAATATACCAACTAGTCATGTAACATCACCCCTGAGGCATCAAACCGGCTACACTGCTAGTCTCACTTCAAATACAAGGCATGCCGCGGTTTTCCCTATTGATCTATTGGAGGTCTTGAGTCTACAGCAAAATGCTTGAGTGGTTTTCCCACTGCTACCGTAGGACAGGCGAGAGGTAAGTCACGCCGCGCCCGTCTGTGAGAATTTGCCGGTTGTGTCCTTCCCTCGTCCAGGTAACAATTTCCCTGTCTGCACGATACGCAGCAAAGGCAACTTTGGAAGCAAAAAGATGAAGGACATACCCCAATTCACCTTGCACCAAACTGCTGTCACCACCGCGCAAGGGATGACCCCAGGTCACTACTCTTCCGCCGGACGTAAGAGCAGCGAAAGCGCCATCAGACGCAGCAACGCTTTGAACATCCACCAATTCGGACTGAACGTGTTGGCTCGCCCCACCATAAGCAGGATCACCCCAAGTAGCGACTGTCCCATCGGCTTTGAGCGCTGCGAAAGCGGCCAGGGAGCCGATGACATGCTTTACATCAACGAGCCTGTCTTGAACATTGCTGCTGTCACCAGCCGAGTGGCTGGGACCCCATGTCACCACCTTTCCGTTGGCCAAAACAGCGGCAAAAGCAGCTCTGGATGCTGCGATGGACTTGACATGCACAAGTTGAGTCTGTACAGCACGACTGTCAGCACCTCGAGTCACATCACCCCATGTAACCACTCTGCCCTCAGATGTGATAGCAGCGAAAGCCCCTTCAGTTGCAACAATGCTTTGCACATCCTGCAATTGTTCCTGAATCTGCCTGCAGTCACCTCCATAGGTCTCTCGGCCCCATGACACAACATGTCCGTCTGCTCTGAGCGCAGCAAATGCCTTCTTTGAAGCCGTTACGCTCTGCACCCCCAGCAGATGCGACTGAACCCGCTTGCTGTTTCCACCTCGACTTGCATTACCCCAAGTTACCACCCGCCCATTGGCGAGAACCGCAGCAAATGCCCCTTGAGTCGCAGCAAGCTGTGTCACATCCACCAGCTGTTGCTGAACGTGACGGCTGTCACCACCATATCCATGATTCCCCCATGCAACCACCTGTCCATCTGCCCTCAAAGCTGCGAATGCTGAATCCGAAGCAACAAGTTGAACCACATCAAAGAGCTGATCCTGCACATGCCAACTGCGCCCCCCATGTTCAGGACAGCCCCAGGTCACCACCGAACCATCTGCTCGGACCAGGGCAAAGGAATCCAGGGTGGAAGCAATGATCGCTTCAGGCATCCTACGTCTGGCCACTGGCAGCCTGTCATGATCCTTGATTCCCACCTCTTCCAGTGTGAGGTGTCCAGGCTGTTGACTCAGTGAAATCAAGTCAAGATCCTGACAGCGGAAGCGCAAGTCATTCACCGTGCAGCTTGACATCACCTGAATTTCCAAGATCCTTCCGGAGAGGAATTCTAAGTGAAGGAGCATGGAAGCCATCGAAAAAGTAGATACAAATGGAGTTGGCCCCCAAAAAAAAGAATCTGGCGCCGAACTGGTCTTGAAAATCAATGCTGCGGAGTGTTGAGGTGTTGAGGTGCATTCTCAATGAGAAGAGTTGAAACTTGGAATGTACAGAACTGTCTCGTGATACTTGCCAACAAAAGTCCAAGCTGCTTCCTGTACAGTATATCTATAATTCTATAATCATGCCTGAATCAAGAATGTTTCAGGTCTGAGTGTTGGTATTGCAAGACATGGTATATAAACCTGTGCCACAAAGATTTCAATCCCACCCATTTCTGGCAAGGCTTTTGGGGGTGGCGTGTGTCTGTACCTTGTTTTACTAGAGCAAATCCCATGTTCTCCTATTATCTCCTCATGAAAATGCCCATTGTTTCCCCGTATATAGGTTCCTGGTTGGTGGTTGACCTACCCCTCTGAAGAATATTATATAATTAGTCAGTTGGGATGATGACATTCCATTCCCAACTGAATGGAAAGTCATAATCCAGTCATGTTCCAGTCACCACCAACCAGGTCAGTTGTTCATCACCGACCCTTCGTGGTGTCCATGGACCATCTGCCGAGGGTCCGAGAGAACGCGATCCAACTTCTGCTTGGTCGTCACGACCACCAGGGCTTTGGCACTGCGTTCCACCAACTGCCTGGGGCCAGTCGTTCCACATCGTGCCACCAAGACATGGGGAAGAAAAACCGACCCATTACTTGGTGGATCTTGGTGGCAAAAAAAGGGGATCAGGGCCATGGATTCCATCACCAAGGCAATTTTGCATTACCATTACCCTCTGCTGAAAAACTTGGCTAGTTTTTTGGTTGGAAAATCATCTATAAATGGGGAACTGTCCGACTTGGCCAAGTTTGATTACCGGTAATGGGTATATTGACGCCGATTACCGGATTGATGACCATCCCTGAATATGGTGGTAGAATCCAACTCTCTACAATGTCACATATCGACCCGAATGCGGGGCTTATTGAGGCGCTCTGGAGGATTTTCTGAACCCACATTGGATTCTTCACAATCCACCCGGGATGAACCGGGGCACTTCTGTTGGCACACCCTGGAAAACTAGGCATGGAAAGCAATGAAGACACTTGCTACCAGAAAAATGTGACTTTTCAGGAGGGAATTCCGATCGCCCCACTTATTCATCCGGAAGATTACTACAATTCCCACGCCTGAACCAGGTGGTGGCCCACCAAAAAAAAGTTATACAACCCATCCGCAAATATATCTACCATCCTAGGCATAGTTAAGCGAACTATAAACCAACTTACCTATCTAGGGGGGGCCACCTTGAAATCGTGGGATGATTCCCCTCTGGGCCATCAACGTTGATGTTGACCACTGGATCCACTGGTTGGTCGGCTATCCAGAAATTTCTCTGGAATATCCCCGATTATAAAAAGGGGAATCTTGAACCTGCTTAAGGTCTCCCAACAAAAATCAGACAAACAATTCCTCATAGATTCCATGATTCCCTAATTATGTCATACTATGTCTAATGGATTAACCAGAATATTAAGTGGTTCGGCAGAATGCACCATGTTATCATCTTCAATGCATCCCAGTTATGAACCTAAAAATGTCATATACTTGCTGATATCCCTATGATATCCCCATATTGGTTGGTGTTATGCCCCCAAAATTTCCTGGTGAAATCCCACGAAATTCCCGATTTTTCTGGTTGGTCGGAACATATATACCCTAGTAAAGCCCTAATTCTTCATGGTTCAATCGCCATATTTCATGGTGAAACCACCATTGTTCCCAGCTAGAACCCACCATTTCTCCCAGTTAAACCAGCTGGGCTATGCACCCAACGTCTCCAAGTCGCCCCAAGGAGCTCAACACCTTCATCAGCTGCCCTGTGCGTGTCTCGCAGCGCCGTAGACGGGAGCTGCCGTGGCAGCGGGAGAGGAAGGTCTCCAAAGTGTCACCCAACCTGCAGGGCCGAGCTCGCGTTCAGAAACGCCTGAAAAAAGCGGCTGAATTCTATATGGTTTGTGGATGTTTGTGGTAGATATAACTCGGGATTTGTAATGTTTTATAAACGAACTTCTAACTGGGGGCACCATCCTGTCGGGATTTTAAGGATTTAAATGGATGGATTTAAGGGAAAATCATCGAAAATACCTCGGTGAATTTAGGGGAACTGCGTGTTAACCCTCATACCGTCTCATACCTGTCATGTATTGAGGGAGATACCGCACTTACATGCAACAATCTTTCAAAGATTCAGAAATATTTATGGAACCTCAGAAATACATGGGGGGTTGTCTGAAATAGGCTACAAAAAAAAAAACATGGTTCATCCTTATGTTCCCAACCAGACTGTTCTTCTAGGCCTCTCTATCCACCATTGAAACCGTTGAGCCCAGCAACTGCCGATCCAATTGGAGCCGATCGCTCAAAAGAAGGATCAAGGTGAAGCCTTTTTTCGTGGGATCATGGACCTGGCAGGTGGCGAAAACTTTGGAAATTGAAAAAAAAAACTGAGAAACTTGTGAGCAAAATGTGGGTTTTGCATGGTTTTGTGGGCACCGAGCAAAATGATGGTGGAGGACTCCGGACATCTGCTTGATATGTTTTGGCAGAAGGCTGGTGTCAACAACTCATCTTCACCTTACAACTTAAAGCATAGGCAAAGGCAAGCACTTCCTTCAGTTTGGCTGTCAGCTGTAAAACGTTGCTTGCTGACCACTTCTTTGCTCGAAAATTTGTTTGGTACATTCCTGACTGTAGCAGCCACGTCTGGAGATCGGTCATCATTTTGCCTCATCACCTACCATTCACGGGTGAAAAACCCTAGGTCCAGTAGAAACCTCCAGCAGACAGAAACTCCGGTCCATGGTCCAAGGCTTGGAATTCCCCATTTTTTGAAGCTGCCATGTCATCCCTGGAATCCCACGATTCTTGCCAGTTCCAAGACAAATATTAGATGTTTTGCTGAATTTGAGTTGATTATTGCCTTAATTAAATGTGTTTTACCACTGACATACAATCAATGGATGTCACTGAGGCGAAAGGGATGATAGCTATATCAACTGGATCCATGTTGAGTTCCAAAGCTAGTATTCCAGCCTGGTATGGAATAAATCTTTGGTTTCTATTCATTCTACGTATATAATGGATTCTAAATACTTCCGGTTTGCTCCAACATGACTTGCTGGAAATTTCTCCATCGATGAATGCTCTTCCCGGCTTTAAACCTCTTTAGGGGATTTGGCTTTCGCAGCTCGCCATGGTTTTATTCACAAAGGCTATTCCCATGATATCCCCGTTGTAGGTATATGTATTTTACATCAATGTCTGCCCATCCCCATTTTCCCATTATATCCCCATTATATCCCCATCAAATCACCATTTAATCACCATTGGTTTTGGTTAAATCACCATGAAATCGCCATTTTTGCGGGTGAAATTCCATTGAATCACCATGAATCACAGCAGTGCTGTCATCCCCACCTGCTCCGCCAATTGGTGGACTAAGAGGGCCATGGTGGCCGACTTGCCGCTGCCTGCAGGGCTATCAGATCCCCAAGAAAAAACGAGATCAAAATATAAATAGATCCTGAGGACTTGGTGTACAAAATCCCATTTGTGTTAACTTTAAGGACGTTTTTCAGGCTGTCTTTTGGAATCGTTGCCATTGGCTTTTCGGTCCAGCTGGATCTCCAATGGCCATGGCGTGCTCCAAAAATCCCACCCAAAACCCCACAGCTGCGATGATTTTCCCAGCTACTTTGGGGATTTCCAGTTGCCATGTTTGATGACACCGGAGGCTAGATGTACCCTCTGGTAATTTATTACATAGCTATTGAAAATGGACCATAGAAATACTGTAGTTGATTTACCTGAAGAGAAGATGGTGATCATAGTACCCTCTGGTCATTTGTTACATAGCGAACTGGAAAATCACCATGTTTAATGGATAATTCAACTATAAATGGCAATTTTCCACAGCTATGTTAGTTTACCAGAGGGTATATTTTTATGATCCTCCAGGGAAGGTTTCCATGGCAACGAAACAAACGATTTGGCGAGTCAAAACCCTGGGACCGCAGGTACCCTAAATAGCTGCTTGATGGATGATATGGATGTGTATTCCCCCTGGTATTTCATAGGCAAATTGGCCCATCCCCATTTTCCCATTATATCCCCATTATATCCCCATCAAATCACCATTTAATCACCATTGGTTTTGGTCAAATCACCATTAAATCACCATTTTTGTTGGTTAAAGCACCATTAAATCACCATAAAATCATTTTTTTGTTGGATGTCCATTGTATCCAACCGTTTTCTGATTAACCAAGTGATCCGCTGCCTGTGGCATGCTGCACCAGGAGGTTTCTTCGCCCATCGACGCTGAGAGCGTGCAAGATGCAGTCCACGGCCTGCCGCGCCTAGATTCCTAGATAGCTAAGTCGGTGAATATAACTCCAAGACGTATGGTTTATGATAATTATTAACTATATTGCAAATAATATATATATATATATGAATACTTACATTTATTATTGGCCAGTTATAAACAGATTTACTGGCGCAAAAAACATGTAATTTTCCATAGCTGTTAGTTTACCAGAGGGTAATTTTGCTCAAGGTCCAACCCCTGGCCCATGGTTTCTGACTTTTCAAAGACCTTCGGCTTGGATTTGCCTCGCGTCAGGAATAGAAAACTGTTGGATATCATGGAAAAGTCAACCAAAATGGCGATTTTTCATGGTGATTCACCCAACAGAAATGGTGATGAAATATGGTGATCTGATGGTGATATCATGGGATCAAACACTGGAATGTCACTGGTGATATCCATCGGCAAGACTTCTCGGACTCCCAAAAGTGGAATCCCCACGATGATTTTGCCACATTCTATGTTGGCAACGTCATCATTCTGGTGTTGAATCATTGCCTCGTGGCCAAATCCCAAAAAGACTGTTGGTTGCTCTCGTCTATCCTTTTTGCTGTTTGGTACAATGCCTTGTTTTATTGTCGGCTGTTGGTGAGATCTCCACAATGTTTCAATCCGTGTTTGTTGCTAATAAAGTCCATTTAAAAAAACCTCTTGGTAACATCTATATATTTTCTCTTGGTAAAAATCCATTGAAAATCACATGTTTCTGGGTGAAATCCTGCTAAATCCGCATGTTTCATCATTTTTACTTGTAAGATCTCCACCTTTTGGCTGGTTCCAACCCCACCTGAACACCCCTTTCTCAGCCTAACCTCGATCTGATGTCGCCAGGGTTTTCGCCCTGTTCCGCGGAGGAACGTGGACTCCATGACGCCATGGATGCAGCGCGACGCAGGGGGGGTAGTAGTGGTTAGTTAGTGGTTATTGTTAGTAAACCCCTTAGTGGTTAGTGGTGGTTGGTAATTTACCTCCAGGTCGCGAAGTTGCTAACTACAATTGCCAGGGTTGCTCCGAAACACTCCAGGTATGTTTGGGAGGTAAATGGAGGAAATATAGAGGTAAAAGGACCCATTTACCCCCGTTGTGGCTATCATTTACCTATAATGAGTTAAAGCCACCCTCTGTTGGGCTTATGGGTGGTATATCGAACAGGTCAGATGGTTCAATGATGTTGATTGAACTATGTAGAAAAAAATGTAATGTTGGATGCTGATTAGTGGCTAGGGTTCGGTATTGTGGCAAAATTTCTCCAAATTATTCTGAAACCCATGTATTGTTTGGAGGGTTCACTTTTGTGGCAAGAAAGTTTGGGAGACCCTTTTTTTTGGAAAAAAAACAACCTCTAATTGCTGAGAGGCAGACTTTTTTTCCAAAAGCAATTGCCAAATTCAAATGCCAAGCCTTTCCCAAAGGAGCCAATCCCTTATTAAACCCTTTTTTAAGAAAAGCTGTTCCACAAGTTTCCAAGGCCCTGGACCAGGAGAGGCTCCATTTCACTTTAGTAGGTTTGTTTGCTGGGTTCACTATTGCAGCAAGCTGTGCCAGAGCAGCTCCTGGAAACCCAGAAGAGAAGCAAGCATTTTCCAAAAGCAATTGCCAAATTCATTTTTTTGGCATTTCAATAAAATACACTAAAGTACTACAAATACTATAAACACTACAAGTACTAAACATACAACAGATACTAATTACAAGTAACTGCTACAAGTACTACACATACCACAACTACTACAGCTACTTTAAATACTACAACTACTACAGGTACAACAAGTACTACAAGTACTACAAGTACTACAAGTACTACAAGTACTACAAGTACTACAAGTACTACAAATACTACAAGTACTACAAGTACTGCAAGTACTACAAGTACTACAAGTACATCGGCAAAAAAAAAGTTTTAATTTGATTTCAATTGTAGCCAATTGAAATCCTTACTTAAGTGCGGATTTGTTTTTCCTGGGAAGAAAATGTTTGGCGCTCCACTTTAAAGAGGGACCAGCTATTGTTGAGGGGGGAGGGGAGGGGGGGGCCTCACACTAATCAGGAACCAACATTACTAGCCACCACTGGAAACAGATGATGGTTGATTGAACTATTTGATAACTACATGGTGCCCGACCCCCAGACGGCCGTGTTTTTCAGGCCATCTTCAGGATCAAAACTGTTGTTTTACTGCAGTGTTTCATGATTTTTTCTTTCCGGTCCTGAGATTTAACGTTTGAACATCTCCCCAAATTACTGATTTTGTTTCATGATTTGGGTTATTTGAAGATCACGGTATAATTAATATAATATAATATAATATAATACAATATAATATAATATAATAGTGGATCTAACTTATACCTCTTCTTGCTCTGCATTTCCTTCATCATCGCGCACGAGCTGCGCAATGACGATGTTCGCCAGAACCTTTGCAGGATTTGTGTATCCTTTGGCCAAACGCCATTGATACATCATCACATGTTTTATATATCAAGATGTTCCTTACAATCACGACCTTTGCCCAAGCGACGTGGGAAGGAGGCTGGGATACTTTCTTTCAAATCCAAGCCACAGCCTATCTGCCACCTGGTTGGTGTGATTCTCGATTGTGTCTCTTTCCTTTCTTTTCCAAGACTTTAGTTCACTGCGTTACCCGTACTTCGGGGAGATTAGTCCACTGTTGTTTTCTTTAGTCCACTGAGAGTCCATTGTCTTTTTTAAAGACTTTAGCAACCCTGTTGCAACGTAGCAGCAGAAAGAGCAAGTAAGCTAACAGCAACCAAATTGCAACGTAGCAGCAGAAAAAACTAGTTGCGGAATGCCCATGTATGCGCATTCCGCAGATGAAAGCACAGAAATGAAATTCCACAAAGACAAGACGCTATTGCCCCCTGGAACCCCCCTGGAACCCCCCTTAAAAGGTAAAAAGGTGATGTTTTTGCCACGGCCGTCTAGGGTAAAAGGGGTCCAACTATGATCGATGGCCATGAAAAATTTCGTTCGCTGATCGTGGCTGAAATCGCCGGTCGAACCACATCAGCAGGTAAAAGAATTTAAGACTCGTCAAGGTTTGAGGCTTTTTTAAAGTGCCTCTCATCCATTAGACCTTTTAGTTATATTATATATGTAGATATATATATATATATGTAGTTATATGTGTATGTAGTTTGACGATTGTTGGTCATGTCGCTCTTGTGTCGAACATCGAAGAGGAGAAGAAACGACACTCTCCAGCAGCAACTGACGAATGTAACCCACTGACCCCGGGGGAAGCTAACAGTTTGCTATCAAAAATCACCATTTTGAGTTGGCAAATCTACTAATATTATGGCCATGTTCAATAGCTGTGTGAAATTACCAGAAGATATAGGTTTGTGGGTTCTTTTCTGTTCTTTTTACGATGGTTATAATCATCTATAATGTCAATCCTGGATTAATAAACCCCTAGGCTGTTTAATTGGGAAGGTACCATTTAAGTATCAAATCATGACTATTGGGGGAATACCCCCCTAATTAATAAACCATGGTTTATTAATCCGGGGTTGACATTAATCCAGCTGCGAGTACCATTGACCGTTCATGGATGGACCACGATCCAACTACCTATACATTTCAAAGTGACTAACTTCAGGGTCGATCCTTGACTTGCTGTCCCAACTTTTTTTGCCCCTGGCAGGCTGGAAGGTGCCGCGAACGTCCTCTCGCGACGAAGATTTCGGCTGTCTCACTGCAGAAAAGTCGGAAGCTCGCAGCCCACGGTCGAAAATGCGACTTCTATCGTTTAGAAGCATGATCTGTGATCAACATACATTTAATTATTATATAATTATCTACTTTTTGCATGATTTCTGATCTTTTCTATGATCATTCACATATTTAGATTACTGTAGAACAAAAAAAATGCCAAAAAAATCTCATGATATCGTGACTATCCTGGTTCAATAGATCCCCAAACTGTATATCCACCATTTAGCTCGATGCTTTTCCCATATATATATATATATATATGCCCATGACTATATAGTTCGGGGATTTCCCAGACAGCCACGGCAGCCACGGGCTGATGACGCCGGAAGATAATAGCCACAAAAAAACACAAATCACTATGTTTGATCATTATTGACCTTTAATGGTTTTTAACCATTAGTAACCATTATAACCATTAATAACCACGGTTTTTGACCATTATATAATCATTATATATTAACCATGGTGTTTAATTTCAATCAAGGTCTTTAATCATCTGTCTAAGATAGGTTGCCAAGCTTTTGGACGTCCTAAACCGTGGGCTCACTCGTTGCATGCAGTGCTGACATGACCGATGCTCACTGTGCGCCAGCGTGCGATGCTTGCGACGGTGGCGCCGGAAGAGCCACCAAACAACAGCTCTGACTGTCAGTTGGTGAAACTGAACCAGCAAAACTTAGGATTCTACTGGCAAGAAATCAAGATGTTGCCAACATGTTTGTGGGTTTACCAACACAAATTAAGATTTTACCAACAAAAAAAACTGATTTACAGTTCCGTGGAATCAACTGACTTTCTGAGGCATTTTTATCTCAAGAGTGGTGAAAACCGTCCGAACCCTTTCAAGGGTTATGAGCCCAACGTCATAAGGGTTCATCCGTTCAGTTTCATCTGTGGGGCCATGGAACGTTCTCAATCTGCTCCCCCAGAAGGGGTGGACTTTGAGGGGATGGGCAACATCAATCCTTTTTACTCCCGAAAGATTAAGGATGAGATGAAACTGGATTATGCTAGACCCAATTCTCTGCCAGTGACTGCAGTGTCGCCTGAAGACCAACAACCAATCCAGAGTGAAGGTGCGATTGGTAAAGGACGAGGTGTTTCGTCGGGGTCGGCTATGGCTGCACGGAGCTCTGGGGGGACTTTTGTCACACCACCGAGTCGAAAGGCGACGCAGCGGGTGCTAGCTGCGGCGAATCTGGAACTTGGAATGCAAAGTCAGCGTGGTGGTGGCAAAACAGAGGGTCGTATGCCGGATGAATCTGGAGAGAAAAAGCATGGTGATGTCAATGTTTTGCAAAATGATCGGCACGTAGATCATGGGTCCGGTTCTCAAGTACAGAAACCTGTTGATGAATTGCAGCGTTCTTTGGAAAGGGAGCTAGTTGACCATCTACGGGATCAGAATGCCAAGTTGTTGGCGGAATTAGAGGAACTGCGCCAATTGAAGCAGCAGTCCAGTGTGGGGCATAGCCAGGTGTCCGTATCTTCATGGTCAGAAGTTCAGGGAGATGGATCGAATGCTGGAAGGGTTTCCTCAAAGGTGGATGATGCAAAGCAGGGCTATCACACCCCAAGGAGTTCAAACTGTAAAGCTGGTACTGGTAAACAGGATACCCGGTATACTCCAAATGGAACACGGGTGCCAGATGGGACTCCGCCAAGCACGGGTGAGCCATGTCCTCCACCTCAACATGAACCACCAGTTGTTCCACCTTTTCCTCCTTCTGTTGCACAAGATGGTGATGATCACATGAAGAAGTTTTTGGACGGCTATGAAAAGGTTGAAGTGACATCAAAAGTTTTGAAGAGAGATGTTTCATGGGAACCCCAAAAGGAGTTCACACCGAATGAGGCCAGAACTTTCTGGTTAGAGAAGGAAGTTGCATCACTGCGGAATTCCCTAGCAAAATTGACTGATGGAAATCCCCTGAAGTCCAGTGAATATTGGTCCCAAGGGTTTCAAAGATCCGGTCATGACCTCTCTGCTGCCGCTGCAACTGTAGATGGATCTGCACGGGCGGGGTATTCGCAGCTTCGAGAGTGCGATCGGGCTAGCATTAGCGCTTCCGATGTTCGCCTTCAAGATCGGGCTGAAGCAGCTTGCATGGTGCGTCAGGGAGACCATCAAGGTCACTTGCTTGCGGGAAGTGGTGCTGATCGCGAACAAGCTCGGGCTAGCACTTTGAGCAGTGGCAACTATCCAGAATGTCAAGGTCACTTGCGTGGCGGATGTGGTGATCTTGCACTTCAAGGTCGGGCTTTGCATAGCAGCAGCGGTGCAGATCCTCTACAAGCTCGGGCTCAGCAGGGCGATGGTGGTCTTTATCCTGGTGATCGGGCTGTGGGAGCATCGCACCTACATGCTGGCCTTGATGGACGCTTCAGTGGAGATCTTCGGCATGGTGGCGGAGGAGGTTCTGGAGGTGGATTGGACCCCATCCCAACCTCATGGGAAAGTGGGGGAGGCGTCAGCGGGTCAAAAGCTGACTTACCTGAACTTCCAAGCTCGGCGAGCCCTTTGCAGTTTGGGGATTGGATCCATCTATGTGGGCCGGTCATGCGAGACCTTTCAAGCATGGCTAGCAGGTGGTGGGACTTGACGGTGAGACAGGCCCAGATCCATTACCAAGACTGGAAACAGGCAACGCCTCTCCAACGGGTGCAATTGGACCCCAGGATGCCGGAGGAGCTCAACGACAAGATCTACAACAGGACAGAACAAAGAGGAGTGCATCTGCTTCTCAAGGCAGTCTCCCAGGAGATGCAGCAGGCAGTTGACAAGTACGGCCATCCTTTACCGCCTTTTTGTCCGGTATCAGCCTGGAGGTCCGGGGGAGAAATCTTTGATCCTGAAGGAGTTGACCCAGCTCCCCAAGACGCAATCCATGGCCGAGTTGGCAGCAGCTTTGAGGAGTTGGCGGAGGCACTTTGGAAGGGCCCGTGAGGTGGGTGCCAGCCTGCCAGACGGCACGTTGCTGATCAGGGCATTGGAAACTGGAGTGCAGGCGGTGGCGAAAGAGAACAGCCAGGCATCGTTCAGGTTGGCTCAGAGTCGTGCGGCTTTGCAAGTGGATGAGATGCCCCAAGCTGCCACCATCTGGGACTTCAGTCAGTGTTTGCTGGCAGAAGCGGAGACCTTGGTTTTGATGAGCTCTTCTGCAACGTCAACTACCGATGCAGTGCCGCTGAAGCTGAAGGTCATGGAAACTGGCGACAATGCAGTTGGCAAAAAGGCTCCAATGGAGGTGGGATCCAATGGAAAAGGCCGTGGTGGAGCAATAGACGCCCCTTGTCGGTGGTTCAAAACCGACACCGGCTGTCGTGCCGGGAAACAATGCAAATGGCAGCACAGCTGGGAGGGCATCACCGACAAAAATGCAAGGTGTTGGAACTGCGGCTCAAAGGCCCACAGAAAGCAGGATTGCCCGGTGAAAGGAGGTGGATCAAGGCCCAAGGACGAAACCAAGGTTTTGGGGGGAGGATTGGCATCTTCTTCAAGTGCAACACCTGCCACACCAACTTCAAAACCATCACCACCTGTGACTCCTATCAAGCCCAAGGTGAACGAGATGTCGAATGCCGCTACATCCACAACATCTACGACGGCATCACCAGGAGAGTTGAAGTCTGGTAATCCTGGAAGTGAAGGTGATGACATCACAAAGAGCCTTGGAGACGGAGGAACGGGAGGTGAACAAGCAGGGCAGAATGGAAAAACGGCTGAGCTTCTTCATGAAGCGACACAGCTGTTAAAGACTCTTCGTATCCCGCCGAAGCTCAACGTGATGCGGATTAGTGAGCTGGATCGTGGACGACAAGATCTAGTTTTGGTGGACTCTGGTGCAACTCATGCTTTGAGGCCGGCCAGAGACGATGGTGAATGGGGCAATGGACAACCAACTACTGTGATGCTGGCTGAGGGATCAACCAACAGATTCTGCCTCAAGCCAGGTACCAGGATCCTCTTGTCAGAACCTGGAGCTGTGCAGGCATGGATTGTGCCAATGGGTGGTCTAGCTGATCTGGACTTCACCATGCAGTGGTCTGGCAATCAATGTCAACTACGAGATGACGAAGGCCGTGAGATCGAGGTGCTGGTTCAGCATGGATGTCCAATGATCTCATTGGCTGATGGACAGCGTGTCTTGGAGTGGCTGGAACTTTTTCAAGTACATCAACAACGAAAAATGGCCATGGTAAAAACTTTCATCAAAAATCCTGAAGATCTGAATCCTATGAAGTTGGACTTGGAGTTGGCCATGACGGTGAAGCTTCAACAGCTGTTTCCAGGCGTCCCTGAGGAGATCATGATGAAGTTGGTGCCACGTTTAGAGGCTGTGAAGTCTGAGATGTTTGGAAGCATGCTGCCATGGAACAGGCACAAGCGAAGAAGGCTTCAAAAAGCAAAGCATGTGGTGCTACATGTTTTCTCAGGTGACAATCCACAGTACTGGGAGCGACAGCTGAGCACAGCCAACACCGAAGTTCTTTGCGTCGATCTTCAGGGTGGGCGCCATGCCAATTTGCTGGACAAGCATGTGTATGGGTTCTTGCTGACGATTGCGGCATCTGGCAAACTGCGAGCTCTACTTGGTGGTCCTCCGTGTCGTACAGTGTCAGCTTTGAGAAGCCAAGGAGATGGGGGACCGGGGGAGCTGAGAACTGAAGAGCACCCTTATGGACTACCAACGCTGTCAATGGCCGACATGGAGAAGGTTCAGAATGACAGTATCCTCTTCTTCAGGTTCTTGTCGCTGTATGCGGTGGCCAAAGAGGTGCAGTTGCCAAGTGACCCAAGTCCGCAGTTGATCTTGGAGCAGCCCAGAGACCCCAAAGAGTACAGACCTCCAGAAGATCTGAACCGCAACAACTACATGTCGATGTTTCGAACAGCTGCCTGGAAGCGATTTGCAGAGGTGTTTGAGCTCTACAAGATCGACTTTGATCAGGGCCCCATGGGACATGAACGGAGAAAGCCAACTACGCTCTTCACCACGATGGAAGTGCTGTTGCAGTTGGATGGAATCCATGGAGCTCCAGAACATCCACCACAAGACTTGCGAGAGCAGCCTCTACAAAAGCGAATGGAAGCTTCAAAGAGATGGGCGGCATGGGCGCCAGGCTTGAAACAGGCATTGGTGGTGGCCATTCGACAACATCTACAGGAGTTGGAATATGAAAGAGCGGCACAAGATCAAGGTGCGGAACGCTCTGATCAAAGGGCCAGACATGCTTCAGTACAACCACTGCAAGAAGGCCCAGGACAATCAAATAATCAAATTTCAGTGCAATCTCTGGAACATGATTCAATACAACAACAAGATGAAACAATGGAAGTGAACCAAAGAGGATATCAATCTCAACGGCCAGAAGGATCTCAGCGTCCACCAATGGCAAAAGCGCTGGGACCTGTAGCCCTTGAACAATGGAAAAGGCATTTCCTCAATGATCATCTCCCGGCAAGGAGAGATTGTTCTCACTGTGTCCGTGCGCAGGGGAGAAGCAAGCCACATCGACGTATCCAACATCCTGCTGCATACACTTTGAGCGTTGACCTCTCAGGGCGCATGACTCCAGGGGATGACCAGCAAATGAAGGCCTGCAAATACCTTCTGGTAGGATGTTACACCTACCCGGTCACCCGGGATGGTCGCTCTTTGGTGCAGGTGCCTGGCAAACCCGATGAGGACGTTGATGTGCCTCTACCAGGACCTGATGCAGAGATGTCGGATGCAGAAGAACCACAAGATCTACCTGAAGATGTTCTTCTTGAAGAAGAAGATGTGGAGACGGAAGCTGTGGAATCACCGGCAACAAGAAGGGCAAAGTCGATGAACGAAACATGGAAGAAGCTCATCGAGCAGGCCGAGAATGTGACAGTTCGTCAACTGACCTTTGTGGAGCCTGTGAAAAGCCGGTCGGTGAAACATCTTCTTCCTGCACTTTCCAAAGTACATGCCCGCATCAGAGCAATGGGATTGCCAATCTACCGTATCCACTCAGACAGGGCACGAGAGTTTTCTTCAGCAGAAATGCAGAGCTGGGCACTAGATCGCAACATTTTGACGACGATGACTTCAGGAAGCTCCTATAAGGCCAATGGACGTGTTGAGGCTGAGATGGGTATGGTGAAAAAATCCATCAGAACCTTGATCACTGCAGGAGTTTGCAATCTTTCTCAATGGCCTTTAGCTGCTCGTCACATTGGTGAACGTCGGTTGCGAAGCCAGCTCAATCTTCTGGGGTGGCCAGTTGGTCGCTTGCTGCGCTTTGGTGCCAAAGCTTATGCACTGAGGAAATCATGGCAATCCAGATATGCTCCATGGCGTGAGGTGCGAGAACCAGTGATCATTTTGGGTCCTGACGCACATGCCTCACTGACCAATACGGGGTACTTTGTCAAGTCCGTTGACACTGGACGATGTTTCTACACTGATGACATCGTGGTGCCTGACGTTCAACAACCAGCAGTGGAAGATCAGGTGCTCTATCTTCCAGAACGTCTTGACGATGCTCCACAACGACGTCACAGGACAAAAGCTCCGCTGCCAGCAATTTCAATGTTGGACATTGAGGGGAGGAGAAGATTGTGAATCGATTCCCTGAAATGTTTGAACCAACAACACCTTCACATCATGGGGGCTCAAGTGATAGCTGGTCAATGTGTACTGTCACATCTTCGCATGAAAGCAGCTGGACTCCAAAATCAATTGAGGTTGAGGAGGAGGGCTGGTGCATCGGAGGTGGGGATGAGGAGGGGGCGCCTAATAGTCAGGATGGTGGCTCAAGCCTGACAGCCTCAAACAATGCGAGCATGACCAATCCAGCTGCACTGAGAGCCTTGCACGTCAACTTGACGCACTATGTCGAGGACGAGATGGCGGTGTTGGATGGGACAGCTGCTGAGCAATCTTTGTGGCTTGGCAATGTGACAGAAGCCATCAAGATGAAAGCCATGATTGAAGAGCAGCTGACAGAAGCGCAAGCACATGGCGCTGGCGAACTTCAAAAGAAGTTGGAGCAGGAGTTCCTGGTGACAAAGACGATCGGCAATGCTGAAGTTTGGGCTGATCTGGATGCTTGGAGTGACTCAATACGTCAAGAATATGATCAACTTGTCAACAAGAAA